TGGCCATTGAAACAAACTCCCAATATTCTTCCAACTAATTGTTAGTGCTTTATTGCTGTGTCCAACTGGAGAAGAAAACCCCACTTCTCTAATCAGTCCTCACCTACGAAAGATGCCCCAAAACTCTAATTTTTTTAATTTTTTGTTCTTTCTTTATATATATTTACCTGATTGAAGCCAAACCAGTCATTGAAAATTGGCCAAGTTTCATCATGTCAAATTCCAAGAGGTTCATTTTCATCCTCCTCGCACTTTTCTCTCTTGTTTCAGTCCATTCTCTTACCCTTTCCTCAGATATCTCAGCCCTCCGAGCCTTCAAATCCTCTGTAAAACCCTCCTCTATTCCTCCCAATTCCTGCCTAGCCACCTGGGATTTCACCACCGACCCATGCTCCGAGCCTCGTGTAACTCACTTCATTTGTGGCATCACTTGCAGTGGCAACCGAGTCACACATATCACCCTTGACTCACAAGGATACACTGGTACACTCACTCCACTCGTCTCCAGGTTAACTCAGCTCATAGCCCTCGACCTTGCAGAGAACCAATTTTACGGTCCAATCCCGTCATCTCTTTCGTCTTTACCCAACCTTCAACAGTTAATCCTTCGAGTCAACACATTTTCTGGCTCAGTCCCGCAATCTTTAACCAGTCTTAAATCTTTACTTACTCTTGATCTTTCACGTAATTCTCTTTCTGGGCCCTTGCCAAATTCAATCAACTCACTCACCAGCTTGACGAGACTTGACCTGAGCTACAACAGGCTCACTGGGTTTCTCCCGAAACTCCCGACAAACCTTAATGAACTTGCTGCGAAGGCAAATTCTCTATCCGGGCCTCTCTACAAGTCATCATTCGAGGGACTGACTCAGTTAATGGTAATCGAACTCAGCGAGAACTCGTTCACCAGAACTCTTGAACCCTGGTTCTTCCTCTTGCCTTCACTGCAGCAAATCAACCTCGCTAACAACAGCTTTACAAGTGTCGTGGTCTTAAAGCCTGTGAATATTTATAGCCAACTCGTCGCCATTAATTTAAGCTTCAACAGAATCGGAGGATTTTTACCGGCGAATTTCGCTGACTACCCCATGCTCCGATCCTTATCTTTGAGTTACAACA